TGTAGGTCCCTCCGCTTTGTGTGACAACATCAGGGCGCACGCCACAAGTCGGAGGAGAAGCTCGGCCAAACACTAACATATGTGTAAGCGCCAATCTATTATTATTATTATTATATGTAGATATATATATTTATAACACAAATAGAACCATATTTGTCTCAGAAAATATACATCGAAATAAACCATGTAAGATTTATATGCATATGGGTATTGGGACAGAGGCAAAAGCAACATTTTTGTTTTGCGGATCTTCCACTGTATCACTCTTGCACGAACGTAGCAATGTTTTGCTCAATATGAAACAAAAACAGGGACGAAAAGGAATAAATGGAACATAGCAATGCTCAAATCAAAATAAAGCCTACAGCGCTGCAGCGATGTTGTTGTTGATAGTGTGTAGGAATGTATCAGGGTTGCCGTTTTGGGCTTTTCCTACCAAAATTGGTAGGTTTTTTCTCGTTGGTAGGATGGTAGGACGCTTAAGATTTTGGTAGCTTTCTTTACTCATAAAGCAGAAAACATCTCCGGCTTGGTGTAGCGTGTCACTTTGTCAGCACTGTGAGTAGGCTTGCCAAATTTTGACAATATCCGTTTTACCCTCAATTTGTTTCTTGGATATTTGCCATTATATCAAATACCTTTTAAAAGAACTTTGGCAAGCCTCAAGTAGCATTTCTGGAACGAGCCACATTTGTTCGCTACATCGTGATGTGATAAAAAGAAAAGCTGGCAGCACTCCGCAAGGTTGCAGAAATCTTTCAAAATATGTTCGAAACTGTCAAGGAAAAAAATTGCCAAAACTCAACGCAATTTTTATCAACTTCAATCTTGCACTATTAAACTAAAATTAATTTTATTTTAGATTCTAATTAAAATGTTTGCAATTTAGGTGAAACCTTGCAAATTTTTTTTAATTTTTGTACAAAGTTTGATCCAAAACCTGAGATCTACCACATTTTTTTGAAATCTACCACATTTTTTCCAGATTCTACCATACAATTTTTTTTTGAGTCCGA